TAAAGTGTAAGTTATTGGGTTGATATTTATTAATGAAAAAAATAAAAATTTTCAAAATTTTGTGGAGGCGAGTCAAAATTTTTGTGGGGACAAAACTGAAAAATACATTACAAATTAATTAGAAATAGTGAACCAACGGACAATGTTGGAAGTTATGCCACTCAATTGTCTATTTGACAATATATGTGACTCAATATGATTAAACAAAAGTGACATGGAACAAAATTTATTTTATAACTACTTTAGCTTTTCTACGATTCCACGGATTGTAACACATTTCTTGTTGAACAATCATCAAATTTACAACTACACATTTCTTGTGTTGGAATTTGGTTAAGTAAACTTAAAGTTGATTTTATATCAATTTCGGCCAAATATTAGGATAAGTTGTGATAATCAAATTGTGCAAGCGAATAGGCTAGTTCTACTTCTACTTGTTAAGCAGGTTATTATAGTATATTTGGATTATCAAAATCAATTTCCACTGAATAAGAAATTATTGTCTAAAAATATGAGGAAAAATCGAATTTTACCCATATAAAACCACCGCTTGAGCGATTGTCTAGCGCATAGCGAGCAACAGTGTCACTGTGGGTGCTCGTGCGACTTGCCATAGGCTAGATAGCAACCTACAGGGCTACATCCCATCATAAAATATGCTGAATTTTGAGAAGTATTTTTCCGGTAACAATCCCTCATCCTCTATAAATGGACGCCCTTGATGGTTCAAAATCATCCCATATCGTATATATTGTTTCATTACACCATATCATTGTATAATCAAAAGTTTTTATTGCACCAAAACTCATTCAAAAGTGGAGAGAAAATTCCATTTTCAAGTTCGTTGATCTATGTAATTTTGAGTGCTTCTATTTGCCCCAATACAAATTAAACTCCTACTTGGTTTAGATAAGAATTAAATTTTTAATAGATTTTAATAAAAATTAATAGAATTTATGGTTAAAAAGTTGTATGTACCATAAAATATGTGGTTAAAATTCATTATTGAATTTGATTTAAATTTTAATCTACTTTTTTCACCGAATCAAATTGTACTAAAACTAAAATCCGAAAAAGTTTTTAGCGTCGGAAGAAATTCCATTTTGGGAAAGCCCTTATTTTTGAACTCCAAAAAGTTGTACTTTTTTTCTTTATTTGTTTGGTTCCTTTTAACTTTTTCGTTCGTGTTTATTTTTCAATTATTTATCACCAACTCCCAGCTAAGCTTGTCACGTGTTACCCAGACCATTTCATTTCGATTCCTACCCACATGTTTTTTTTTTTTTTTTTTTCTAAAAGAGTAAAAGTAATTAATGGAGGGGTGAATCTGGTCCCTCCTGTTCTTGCAGGATCCTATGCAAGGGAAAGAATATAAGAAGCTGGTCTGAACCAATAGTGTCACTAAAGAACACAGTCTTTCAATTTTTTTGTTTTGTTTTGTTTTGTTTTGTTTTGTTTTGTTTATTTCAAACACTAAGAGTTCGCTCTGTCAAGTCAAAAAAGAACACTAACAAACGATAATTCAAAAATAAAGGTTATGATTCTTTGACCCTTTACTATTATCTAATTAACTATTATTTTATATATATATATAATAATGATAATTTAAACGAAAACTTTCAACTAATTTATTAAAATCATATACAGAAAAATATTGAAGATGAAGGAAGACAGTAAATTCTCATAAATTCCTTCCTTGTTTCTTACAATGAGTATGTACATATTTATACGTGAAGTTGCAACTTATATATGGAAAATAGAGAATATAATACAAACAATCTATATATGGGAAATAATCTCTTGATTTATGTGATCCTCTAATATAATAAATCTTACATTCTCCCATTAAAAAATGTTTGTACAATCTAATAAAATAAAGAAGTCCCATAATATAATCAAAGATGACGTCGCTGATGATGCAATCGTGCAAATATTACTAAAACGGGTCGGATAATCAATGCTACTTATCAGAATAGCTACTTATCAGAATAGATTATTTTGGGATAAGCTAATTTTTTTTTATTACTTTTTTAGAAGAATAATTACTGAAGGATAATTGGCACAAAACGTCAATTTTTGTGGAAAACGTTCATACCTTTGATTTTTTGGCGCAGAACGTCCCTACCTTTCACATTATTTGCGCTGAACATCTTTTTCATCAATTTTTAACATAAAATGACCAATATACACTTCTATTTAAATAAAACAAAATAAAAGAAAAATTAAAAAACGAATTGTAACTATAGGCCAAAGCTTTTTAAAAAGTGCAAATAACCCTCCAAACTTTACATTCTTTAAAAAATTATAACTTTACCCCAAACCCGATATGGTGGTCGAATTTGGAGTAGAAGCAGCCGGCTCCATAAGCTGCTAAGTTTCTTCGCGGGCTGGTCAAATTTGGGGGGCGGGGGGGGCTTCCCTAGCAATTTATTAAATTTCAGGGACCCTCATGCAATTATGGGTTTAGGGTAAAGTTATAATTTTTTAAAGAATGTAAAGTTTGTTGGGTTATTTGTACTTTTTTAAAAGCTTGGGCTAATAGTTACAATTCATTCTTTATCTTTCTTTTCTTTTATTTAAATAGAAGGGTATATTGGTCATTTTATGTTAAAAATTGGTGAAAAATGATGTTCAATGCAAAGAATGTGAAAGGTAGGGACGTTATGCGCCAAAAAATCAAAGGTATGGACGTTTTCCACAAAAACTGTCAAAGGTAGGGACGTTTTTCACCAATTACCATTTATTTTATTTAAATAGAAGAGTATATTGATCATTTTATGTTAAAAATTGATGAAAATGATGTTCAGCACAAAGAATGTGAAATGTATGAACGTTATGCGCCAAAAAATCAAAGGTATAGACGTTTTCCATAAAAATCGTCAAAGGTAGGGACGTTTTGCGTCAATTTCCCATTACTAAACCTCATTAGATAATTTTTTAATAGCACTAAAAAAAAAATGGTACTAGGGATTGGAGGAACAGTACTTTGAAGCTTTAAAGGATGGGGTCAAGTCCCTCTCGTCATAATAGACACGACTGACTGCTTTCGCTCATGAGATAACTGATTCAAAGGACATACTGATGGTGACAATTCATCAAACCCTGGTTATGTTTCCCATAAAGAATTACTCATTTTTACACAATGCCTTTTACTTTTTTAATGATTTTAAGGCACTAATCAGTAATTAAAATCAAATGTATTGATCCCTTTGATTTAACTAAAAAAAAAAAAAATGGCCTGCTCAAAATTGGCTTCTTAAAATTTAGGGTTTACCTTACAATAACTTTGGACTCTGGTTGTAAGTAAAGGGTGTTTAAGCGGTAAAAACCCACGAGCCAATTCTTCGTCTCCTACTGATGAAGTCTCACAGCGAAAGTAAGCCTCCCAGATCGCCCCATTCATAATGAAGAACAGTGCATTATGTGCAAGCACATTGGACTCACTTATCCTTAAAAATTAGTTTGTAAACAGTTGTGTCGAAATAGTTATACAACCATGAGTCGAGCTTTACACCATTGTTACGGTATTTCAAGTTTTCTAGTCGAGTGGATCTAAAATGAAAGTAAATAGACTAACATCCCATCACATAATTTGCAACGACGACGCTAACATAAACAATGTATAGAATGCATTACAGAAACATGTGGATTTAAAAAAAAAAAAAAACACTTATCAAATCACAGCACGTGAGCACTCCAATTGCATCTGTAATGCATTCTATACACTAGTTTTGTACAAGTAGCACAACTCAAAATCTAAAAGGTTTAATAGTATTACATGAGTATATAAGAGTACTAAGACAATCTTCAATAGTTTACATCAAATTTGGTTTATGGTTTTACACTAACTTTTATTTTGAAGTATTTTATACCAAATTTTATTTTACAAATTATTTTATTAAATTAGAAAATATATTTAATGAAAATATTGCATTTACTAATAAATTGAAAAAAAAATTAAACATAAATTACATGGCACCACAAACTATAAAAATTATATTGAACGCACGAGGAAAATATATATAACTTTTTGACTTTTTAATGAACAATTTTAATTTATTGTTGAAATAATTATTACTTATAAATTGATTAGAATTTAAAATAAATATTAAATAAAAATAACCATCATATTATAATAATTATGATTCAATTGAAATCTATTAATACTATGATATTAAATAAGAACATAAATGAAAGAAACAATTTAATTTTATGAATTGTAAATAAGGGCAAAATGGGATTAAATGAAAATTCTTATATTTGGTGGAAGAAACAATTTGGTGTAACAATGTTTGGTAATTGATTTAAATTCATATTTTAATCTAAATCAAATTCAACAATCAATTTTAACTACATATTTAATGAGTCACAACTTTTTAACGATACATTTCATCAACTTTTATCAAATTTATTGAAAATTTAATTTTATCCCCATCAAACTGGGAGTAAATTTGATGTCTTTCACCAAATATAACCTCCCATTGGACATGTCCTAAGACCATCTTAAATGTTGCACAAAATTTCTAATAAATTTGGTGTAGAAACCACTCCAATGGTACACAAAATTAAGTGTAAAATTTGATTTAAGGTGTAACACTATTCATCTACACCAAAATTGATGTAATTATTCCTCATTTTGCTCTCCATTTTCTTTTACACCAAATTTTTGTTCCATCTATATCCTTAGTTTTGATATAAAATTTGGTGTTTAAGAGCATCCAATGGTCACTCCAAATTTGGTATTGATTGATAAAAGATTCCCAAAACAACTTGTATAGATATTATAATCATCCTGTATTACCAGTAGTCAGCAATGCAGAAGATCTAACCCAAGATTTTTTTCCACTAGTTTGGACAAATTTACCAAAACATGTTTTCCCCCTTTTTCAGATTCCAACCATAAATTTGTCCCTCATTAGGATTTTTACAGATTCAGAGAAAGTGGAGATCTTTTGATGACAGAATTAGAAGAAAACGACAAAGCAGAACACAAGATTAGTTCAGCTATGAGGGGCTTGTAAGTGAGTGGACACTACTTTTCTGCAGCCAATTTTGGGTCTAAGTATTTGCTGTCCGAATCCTGATGATGCTGCAGCAGTAGCAAATAATTGAGGAGAATTTGTTTGCCGTTGCAGATCATTTGTTGAGACAGAAATCTCCTCTCCGTTGCCTCTAATTCCGCAGTCATTGCTGCCGCTCGGAAACTGAATCTGTCAATTGTCATGTTCAGTTCAAGAATTTTGTACACCCGTGTATGTTTATTGAACTTTAAGCACTTACTCGATAACCTTGTGAGCCAAACGGACATGAGAACATTTGTTGCATTCGGGGCTCGTTACATTTCATGAACTGTCCATATCGGTGCAATTCGTTAACCTTCAATAAACCAGGAGAATGCAGGTGCGTTTGGCTTAGAAACTGTAAAGTATCAGTTTCATTATTATATACATCTCTTCTGTCAACTTGTCCAGGTTGATTCTCGAAATTAAGCTGTGATTCATAAAATTCATAAATCAAAAACACTATAAATTTTGGATTTTAGGCATCAAATTAAGGCACGTGAATGTCTATATACCTCAGATCTTGATCCCTGGAGTCGCGAATCAAATTCAAATGGCATTGTCGAACAATGCTGATCACGACTTTCATCTTCCAATTCTCTGCTGCCATGCTTTGAAGCAGTATTCCCCAAACTCAAGTCTAGATTATGATCTGCTGCATTGTTAGAAGATTCTGTCGCACACCAAAAATTTCAAAAGGAATAAATTTTCGTCTCTACAATCAGTTGAATGAAGAATTTTAAGAACTATGCTGGATCAAACTTGACAAATACTCGTAAATTTTACCTGCACCTTTGAGTTCTTCATCATAAATGCTGGGATCAAAATTTGTCACAGCATCCTTTCCATTACACTTGACTGCGGCTTTATCATAAGCCCTATAATTCCCAGACAATGAATTAAACCCCAGAAAAGTATTATACTCGTACTTAAATCTTTCTACAATACATTTCCTGCAAACCCTGCTGGCAACCTAAGCAGAAATAAATACAGACAACAACTCTATAAACTGACCTGGCAGCTTCGATTTCAGAATCAAACAGACCCAGATAAACATATCTGTTTCATATAATAAAACATGCATTAGCACAGAACAAGGTAATTAAGACATGGATTAGTCCACAAACATACTGTAAAGTAGATGATTTACTTTTTGCCTAGGAACTGGCCCATTCTAGCTTCCCATCTACCACATTTGTGCAAAGTAACACCTCTATACTTGGAGCTCCCTCTTGGAAATCCAGTACTTTGTCGTCGAAGTGCATGCACAAATTCTTCCTTTGTTAAATTGCTTGTCTGTAATATTTATACATAGAATATCAAGTTTCTTTTCTTTCTTGTGTCCAAACACCTCATAATTCAAGAAATGCAACTTTTGAAACCAAGGAAAAGCACTGTACAAGATAAGGTGAAATGCAATAAAACAAGTCTCTCTCTCTCTCTCTACACCCTTTTTTCTCTCTCTCAAAATGATGTACCTGTTTTAGGTCTTCTTCGTAATCTTCTAGATTAAAGTTTATGTCTGCTTCCATTCCCCGGAACTTAATGGCTGCCCTATCATATGCGCTGTCAAAGATTCATTTCCAAACATTAGTTTATTCGGATTACCGATAAAAAAATGTGGAATTGAAATAGAGTTAGAGAGGGGAAAAAATTCACCGAGCTGCCGCGTGTGCTGTATCAAATCCACCTATAAATTCCAAACAAAAGCCCATTCGACCAATCAGATGATAAAGCAAGAACTTGATAGTCAAGTTGGGAAAAGAATAATCTTTTTTGCCAAATAAGGAGAATAGAGAAGGAAATTCTAACCCAAATAAACTTGCTTTCCACAATCCCTGAGTCGGATAAAACCAAGAAACACAGATTAATTGTATTTGAATGAAACAATTTCGTATGGTACAAAGTGAAAACTAGCATTAGAGGGAAAGCAAAGATAAAGTTTTTGATTGTAAATTTATACCATATGTGTGATTCCCACCGGCCAGTCCTCCGATAAAAGGTAACCCCACGATATTGAGAGCTACGAGACCTAGGCCCCCGTCGACTTTTCTTGAGAGGCTGTGTGACCTCCGCCGCAGACTTCCCAAATCCACGCCCACCACCGCCGTGGGGTTCAGACTTGGACAATTTAATTCCAAACCATTGAGCTTGTGGGAAATTGTGTGGTCGGTCGCTTGATGTAGCCCCAGTTTCAGACTCATCGACCGGAAAGAACTGCCGGGTCAACGGCCGTTCACACTCCGAAGAGCATGGATCCGTGTCATCATCGTTGTGAGCCACAGAAAACCCAAATATTTTGCTGCTCTTCTTTCTACCTCTTTCTGCAACTTCATCTTCAGAAGCATCCTCGATAACCACCGCCGACGAGCTTGAATTAGACACAGATCCGATCCCTTTAAGCTTGTCATCCGAATAACCCTTGGATTTATCAGCCCTTGCTTGATCTGGAGAATCATTGAGATTCCACATTTCTCTACCGATGGAAAAGATGAAAAATAACCCCAAATAGGAAAAAGGACATAAAACCAAAAAGAGCTGGTAGAGAGGAAGAGAGTTGATGGGTACTCAGAATTCTGATCAGCGCTGTCTCATCAGAAGCCAGACTTTGGAAGGCTACAAAAGCCCGTCTTTGAGTTTGTAGGAGTAGGAGTAGGAGTAGAATATAGAAGAGTAGGTGGGTATAGATTATTAGATAGATATATTCTTTTTGGCTACCTATATAAAATAATTCTCAAATGGAACTGTACGTTTGTCTATTGAAACAGCATAAAAACCTATTACCACAAGAGTTAAAAAAGTAAAAAGTTTGTTTCAGTTTCAGCTATTCAACTAGATCTGTTGTGTTCCCTTCCAGTTCCTTGGCTGCCCTAATACAGCATAGACGGGGCCAGTTTTTCGAGACTCGACAAAAAGCAATCTTTCTCTCTCTAGAATTCAAGCACACACTCCCTCTCTCTCTCTATACATATTTGATATTTCATACGTTATTCAGAGAAGCAGAGCCGCAGAGATGTAGAAATTCTTGAGAGATGGGTTTTATACACTTGTTGCTACTTGTATATATCTTTCATAATCCTCGTTGGAGTTGAAGCCCAATTTATTTGTCAATTACATGACATTAAACATTAAATGATAAACTCAATTAAATGAATAATGTGATTTTGTATTTAAATTAATCCATCATTTAATTTCATATAATTGTTACATAGACTAGAGCTCAACCCCAATGAGAATAAATAACATTATTATATCTTCATTAACCATTCTCTTTTTTTCTTGAAAATGTATGTATTTATGATTGTGCAACATGAAAAAAACAACTTACATTCACCAATAAATGATGTGACGAGAATTAATTCGAACAAAATTTTCATCAATCAAATAACTTCCTCACTTACATTTTGACACATCATCTTTATACAAAACATTATATAAATGGTTATGTACAAGAAGCATTTTTCAAGTATTTATGCATCCGTTTGCCACTATGATTTCATATTATAATGAGATGAATAATAATTTTTTTTAAGAATGTTTGGTTAGAAAAGAAGAAAAAAATTTATGTGTAATACTATTTTATTAGAGAATATTGATTGTCAAGAGAAGAGAGAAAAATGAAATATAATTTAAAGGAAAATATGAGTGTGGACTATATTGTATGTCTGCATTGCCGAGTGAATTGTTTCAAAAATCACTGAACTTATACCATCGTCACGGACTGCTCATCGAACTTCATTCTACTTCACAGTACTCACTCAACTTTGTCATTTACCTCTCTATCCACCACTGTAAAAAAAATCCGTTTGTTGAGCGCTGACGTGACAGACGAAATTCCTAGGTGGTGTCTGACAGCTGTTAAAAAATTACAAATAAGCAAAAATATTGTTTAATCACTCATCCAACTTACAATGTTTTTACTGTTTTGTAATTTTTTAACGGCCGTCAAATGTCACCTAGGAATTCCGTCTGCTACGTCGCGTCCAACAAACAGATTTTTTGACAGTGGTGGTGTTGGGAAAAAATCAACTTTCCCAGCCAAATCAACCAAACGCAGCGGAAACACAAAACACGAAATAATTGGACAAAAGAGAAAACAAAGAATTTAACGTGGCTCAACTGACTGCTGACAACCACAGGAGAAGAATACTTTTATTGATAAGAAAAATAAATCACTCGTTACAATATTTTTCTCATCCTCACAACTTCTCCCTACACAAAGAAAGAACAACAAACGTGTTTTCTTCCTTTGTATACTCTCTCTCACATGCACACAATATTTCTCTTTATTTCTCCTCACTTTTTCACGTCTCA